AAATCGGCCTGGTGCTCCGTACAGTGCGCTAACAGAGACCATCTGAGCGTCACACCTTACAGTTTACATTGTTTCCATAGATATGCATGGCGAGAAGAGGAGATGGCATGTACTTATTTTGGAAATCAAGTAGGTAACGCAATCTTCCAAACCTTTCTGGAAGTTTACTGATCTCCTGGAAGGTGTTTTCTGGGAACATAAGGGGGTTTGTTTATGCTCTTTGGAGCTCCTGTGAACTATGAGATGATCATACTCTGCTCCGACTTTGCAGTTATATCTGTAGAAATAATTCAGTAGGAATTACCTTTTTTTAACTTAGCCTAGTTTTTGTTTTTGTTTTTGTTTTTGATAAGTGGACAATAATTCTGCGCTGTTAAATGAGGGATTTTGACCCTGAATCTTCTGTGAAGGAAGATGCGTTGTGTGTTGTATTCTGCGTATATAAGCACTTGATCCCTAGATCACAGCACTAAGTTTGTGATGCTCTATATATTTGTACTGTAATTGATTAGTATTTTTTTATTTCACATTTAGAATACAATTTTTTAAAGGCTTTTATTTATGACTTTCATCCTAGTTTGTGCAGCTGTGTATAGAGCTAGGTTTAAGGCTAGTTGGAAGCGAAAAAATGTGTTGCAAATACATTTGCCCAGGTGCCATGGTCTCATTCTATTTGTTCTCTTGAAACATATTTATGGGGTAACATATCAGCACCTCAATTCATCCAGAATTAGCCAGGAGGGGCAGGGAGAGAGAGAGAATCCAGGCAAGTAACAGTATTTGTCAGTTCTAGCATTCTCTTAACTGTGATACCCCTGCAAACTTTGTTTGCAGTCATTTCACTTTTATTAAAATTAACTAATTAGTTTTCCAACCCAAATATAGTGAGTTCAAGGATTTGGCAAACTGTAACTCCCAAAGTCACTTTGGGGAAGATGTTACTCAGTTCTCATTAAAGACAGAACTGAGGAGGAAAATATTCAAGGATTTGGCAAACTGTAACTCCCAAGGTCACTTTGGGGAAGATGTTAGTTCTCATTAAAGACAGAACTGAGGAGGAAAATGGAAAATCAGACATTGAAGCCATGGATGTTTTCTGCGTATGCTCAGAACTGTGTTTTGCTTATGCTAGGGAAGGAATGAAAGTATTATTTCTATTAATCACTAGCTGTCACAGAATTATTTCTCATTAAGAAAACTCTTACGAATTTGTGTAACCTTAAGTAAATGCAAAGAGATTATTACTTTATATACTACCTGTTAAAAAAAATACACATCATTAAAAAAACAAAATCGTGATGTTTGTTATTACTGTGGACTGTGAATAGCAGGAAAATGGGACGGGTGTGAAGGAACACAGTGGCACTTGGAAGGGGATAAATCACAGAATCACAGACTGGCAAGGGTTGGAAGGGACCTCGGGAGATCATCTAGTCCAACCCCCCTGCTAAAGCAGGCTCTCCTAGAGCATTCTACACAGGACTTCGTCCAGGCGGGCTTTGAATATCTGCAGAGAAGGAGACTCCACAGCCCCCCTGGGCAATATCAGTGAAGAACTTAAAGCCCTGAGAAAGAAAAGGGACAGTGTTGAGTGGTCAAGTATGTTCGATGCTACCCTCAAATGCATTCAGTAATGAACAGCGAGGCAATGATGCGGACGAGGCAAACACCTACTCGGGCTGTTTATGCATCATTAGTCAAGCCAGTGGGTCTGATGGCTGAACCAAAAAACTCAAGGAAAACAACTAATTTTGGATCAACCACATGTTTTTCATTTTCTCCCCAGCAAAACAATAAACTGAGAAGGGGGTTGACCAGAAACAAAACATTTTGTCTTCAGTTTATTTAGTCCCTCTTTATTTTAGTTCTGTTAGTTAAATTGGAAGTGAAATGTTGATAGTTTTGTTCTGAAAATGCTGTAATGAAATGCTTAGTCTTTCCCAAATACGTTTGTTTTCTGAATGTTTTTTCTGAAACCATTTATTAAATTGGACCCAACTTCATAAATACTTTTATTCTTCCTTCTCGATGTGTTGAACTGGTTAATAACATTCTCCTTTGCCAGTATTTTGTTTCCCAGGAACAAAGACCACTCATGTTTTCTTCTTTTATCCTCTTAATTGAAATGCATAATGCCTCATCACCAAAATACTTGAGTGTTTTCTGTATTAAAAAATGCTCTCCACGAAACCTCTTCCCTTCACTTTTCCTCCTTGTAGTAGAGCAACAATGTGAAAATGAGAAATTGGTATAGTTAAATGTAAAGATATGTGCATAAGTGAAAAAAGGTGAGGTTGGAGAGATTTTTCTTGTATGTGATTCTGAAAATGGCAAGGTATTTGTCCGACCTTTCTGAGGTTCTTCCTTCAGTGAGCAAGTGGGGTGTAATCCCTCGAAATGAAGAAGTTACTCCGAGGTAGCATCAACCTGATACAGAGTTTGTGTTCCAAGTGCAAACTCCTGAATTAAAAAAGGAGGGGAATGCGAGTATTGTTCAGCTAGTACAGACAGAATAGCTCTAAACCAAATTCTCTACAGTAATGATAGCTGTGGTCTACTGAGTTTAGCAGCAATTTAATTTTTTCTGCGGGACATAGATATATAGAGATATATATGTATGTTTTGCTCCTTGGTATAGTGAGCTGCAGTAATTAAAGTAACAAATCCACAGACAACCACAGGCCACTACAGAGTTCCACAGTTTGATGTACAGTCTTTCTGGCTAGTCCCAGATAGGAGGATGAGAAGTATTTTAAAGCCTGGGATAATTTGGACAGCTGCTCCCTATAAAGTCAACAAGATCATAATTAGTCTATTAGTTTGACAACTGAAAGCTGCACATCCCAAATGACGACAAAAAAAAAAAAAAAAAGCCAGTTCATTTTTTTTGTGAGGACTTTGCCTCTTTTCAGACAAATGATCTCAAACTTGCCTAGGCTGAGCTTCAGTTAATTGTTTTGCCACACTGAGCAATCCTGAAGGGGACTGCGCTAAATTCAGAGTGAAGAGGATGCCTGGCTGTGTTTCTGCGGTGATTCTATGCAGATATTTGATAAGACAGAGCACAGCAACGAGCTGTTTGGGATGCTGCAGTTGAGTGCCCTGGAGATGGAGGAAAGCTGTCCACTATGACTCAGACACAGATATCTTAGCACAGTTCCCATGTAAATGAATTGAGATAGAAGTATAATGTTTAGTTGCTAATTACATTTAGACTCCTTTGGGGAACCCACCAAGATTTCTATGAATGTACAGTTCCAGCCAGTGAACAGAGAGAATTAATCCATTGGTTTGCTCTAACAGGGGAGCTAAAAAGAACAATTACGCTGCTGTGATTGCCCTTCTTCAAGGTTAAATTCTCCATACAGATTCCACTGTTGTTCTTCACATGAGATGATTTTTCTGTGAAGAGCAACGAAAACTATTACGTTAGCTAGCCACTTACTTATTTTTCTAAATTAACAATAGTGTGTTTGGTTAACAATAATGATTTTTTTTTTCATTAGTGGCATCTTTATCCCTCATAAGCCACATTTTTAAAAACTAATGAAAGAAGAGAAATAATCAGAAAATAAAACTTGGGAAACTTCAAAAGGTTTTTTCATCATAACCCGATTTTCCAGCAGTGACTTTTCATGGCAGATGTTTGTCTAAAAAAGCCTGTTTGTTCTAAAAGCCCTCCATATCTTCCCAACGTTACCTATTCTAATGCCTAATTCTTACTATCGTTACAACATTTTTCCTAATGACTTGATCTGAATTTCACTTGATGCAATTTAAACCCATGACCTGCTGTCCACTGATTGTGCTTGGGTTTTCATACGCACTCTCCCTCTCGTTGAGAACTTGCCAGTGCTGAGAGCGCACAGATTTCTTCAGTTGTACAGCCCCTTTTCCACAACAGCATGGTACTGTTAATTCACATTCAGCTTGCAGGCCGAATATAGTCCCTTATCCCTTGGTGCAGAAACGTTCCTTAAGCTGACATAAACTTCTCTAGCATAGGTTCATGAAATTCATTACTTCTACTTAAGAATCCTGACTTTTGCTTTTATTTATTAAGATGCCTTTCATTTGCTTTTTTATTTAAATTAGTGCACTCACAAATTTTGTGTATTTACTAAAATATTGCATCCATAAAAATACAAATTTTTTATAACTTGGAAGCAGCAAAGTGGATGTACACTACTGCAAATATATCTGTGGTGCAAAATATTGTAATTTGTTATAATCAGTTCTCCATTCAAGATCGTTTCAAGACACGAAGAAGTATGGGGATGTTTATGGGGGCATAATGCATGTGTGGATTCAGGAGAATGATCAGTAACTTGACAATATAGCAAAATATGCTTTATTTAGCTCTTTATAACAAGAAGTAGCTGAGGAGTGTAGCAATAATACTCTTGTTTTACAACCAGATTTTCAAAGAAATCATGCTTTCAATAATGATATTCATGCGCTCTCTTGTTTTTTCACATCACGGCTATTGCAGGTTCCCAGATCAGATTTGATCAGGTGTTCGTGTCTCTTCTTAATGTTTTCAGAAGGGGAAATGGCCTTGCAGTCAAAATATCACTGGGGCTACTGCATTCCTCTCCTGTATTATACAGCCAGGTCTGTTCGTGGGAATTCTTTGTCAAACAGAACCATGTAACACTGATTTCTAAACGTTATGTCAAGCTGTTTATACTCACACCAGGTAGGTTCTCATCAGCAGTCAGCATGGTCTATATAGGATCCAAAGGGAATATAGTGTTGGACTGCATCCTATGAAAATAAGGTAAATTTACATCTGTCAAATAGGTTGCTACATTTTGGCTAGCCTGGGTGGCTTTCTGTGTCAGTTCATGTTTTAGGCACTGCATTTTAGGAGAATCTCATGAGTACTAAGATGCCTTTACAATGTCAAGGAGGCCTTCCTAGCTGCAAATGAAGAACATCGTTTGCATGACCAAACTAGTTTTCTTTCTAATACGATACTTTTTTGGTTTTTCTTTTAGGTGGAGAGGATTGTAGACAAAAGGAAGAACAAGAAGGGCAAATGGGAATATCTCATCAGGTGGAAAGGCTATGGAAGCAATGAAGACACCTGGGAACCTGAACATCATCTACTACATTGTGAGGAATTTATTGATGAGTTCAATGGACTACATGTTACCAGAGAAAAGCGATCAAGACATGGGAAACAGGCCAGCGCTCCAAAATTTTTACGGGAAAGCCGAGGGTCATCTGTTGAGAAAATATCACATAGACCTTCTGAATCTGGGAAGTCTAAAGGGTCAACACACAAAAGGAAGAGAATTAATCCATCTCTTCAAAAACAGAAAAGAGGATACGCAGCAAAGCCAGCATCTGCTAATGACAGGGCTGCTAAAACTGTGACTTACCGAACTACTCCCAGCGGTTTACAGATCATGCCACTGAAAAAGCCACACAATGGTCTGCAGAATGGAGATGGCAGTCACGAAAAAGATTCTAGACATTTTGGGAATGGCTCACAACAGCAAAATATGGATTTAAATGATCATGAAGGAGAACAAAATTTGCCCAGCGTGTTGGAAGTTAGTAATGATTCACCTGTTGTGAATGGAATTGGTATGTGATTTAAAAAACTACAGTCTTTTGGGGTGGGGGGGGTGGGGGTAATTGCAGCAACTGCAAACAGAGAGTCCACTCTTGGAAAAATCATTGTCGTGCTACACAAGGGAGATGGTGAGAAGCACATAAACATGTTTCACGCTCTTTCCCCATATATTATACTATTTTTTTATCAGCTGGCTTCTTTCTTTCCCACGGAGGGACATGAAGCAATGTGGGCTTTGTTACATGCCTTTGCGGTGTAAACTTCTTGTGGGGAAATGATGACAAGGCACAGAGTAGGAATGAGAATGGAGGTGTGTATAATACCGCAGCTTTGGGTTTGTGTATCACCGAGTAACAAATCACTTCTCGGTTACGTGTGCACGGATCCAATGGACTAGAAAGATCAGGATTATTTTAGAAACAGAACTAATACCGCTCTTGCTAAAGTATCCTGGTAAGTATGGTTGAATATCGTTCAAGGTCCTCAGTATTAATGCTTGTCATATTCAGGAGTGCTCAGAACTGCCAGGTCCTTGTCTCTGTCAGTGACTGGATACATCAGAAGTGGAAAGACGTGCTTTATGGGAAGGTGCAAACAGCCTTGAAGTGAATGAGAAGAAATAGGAAAAATTTCTTTCAAATCCTCATAGTTACTGACTGGCTTAGTTCTCAAAGAATAAAGGTTTATGTTCTCGATAAATACTATGCAGTCTAATGCAACTAAGTAGCTTCTCATTATCTGTATGTGTCCAATCTTTTTTTTTTTTTTTTTTTTTTTTTTTAATCCTACCAAACTTAAAGCCTCGGTTGTGCTTTGTAGCAGTAATTTCCAGGAGCTAACAATGAGATGCACATTTTATTTGATCAGGTTTTTGGGTTTGGGGTTTTGTTTGGGTTTTTTTGACCTTTACTTTCATTGAATGAGCTCTTGTCCTTATATGAAAGGATAAAGAGAAAGACGTCCCGTCAATCTGTAGGCAGCCCCAGCCTTTTTACCCTTCCTACCACGTGGAAGTCTTTCCAGATTCCTGGTAGTTTTCAGTATCCTCTTGTGCCTTTGGTGTGTGGGTTTTTTTTAAATACCTTTTAAAAACAGCAGGAGCTGTTCCAAATGATTTCCTACTGCTTACTGATAGAGTGGCGATACAACCTTTTGAGAATTATTTTTTCTGCTGTTACACACTGCATAAAGGTTTTCATTGAGTGATACACAGTTGCTCTTAGGGATTTTTTCCTTGCTGGTTACAGTTAATTTAGAACACAGCTATACGTATGATTCTTTTCATTATGCATTTAATCTGCTTTACTGTTGTCAATTCACCCTTTTCTTATGACTCAGTGAAGCTCTTCAAAATCTTTCCTAGTTTTTACTCTACTTATTTTGCATTCCCGTCAAATTTTCCTCTCATATTTCTCTTCCCAGTTCATTAATACATACATTAAATAAACTAATCCTTCTGCAGGTCCTTGGGGCAGCCAACTACTAATCATTTGACATGATGAAAAGTAACCATTTGTTCCAATTATTTATTTTTATTAGCCACTTTCCGTAGCCCATGATAGCACTCATTTCTTTAACAGCTTCTTGTGAATTGCCCTGCCAAAAACTTTTCGAAAGTCAGCATAAATTATATCACCCCGCTTTCCATTTTCCACCCTCCTGGCAACCTAGCAAATGCTGCTTGGTTTGGGAAGTAGGACTGTCCTTGCCTGGTCTTACTGGTTACATCTGGTAACTGCTGGGATCTTTCAATCCAGGCATCAAGGCTCCCAGACCAGCAAAATGTGTGGTCAGCTTTAAAGGTGTAAGTAACCCAAATGATCTCAATGACACTTAAAGTTGAGAGTGCAGGCTCTTGTATTTTGCTAAGTTTGAGCTCATCTAAGATTGTTTAAAAAATTACCTGCTTCATTAAAAAGACTTGCATATCAAATTACAGATGCATATAAAGTTATTTTTCTTTGCTTTCTTACTGTTTCTAATGAAGTTTTTTTAATCATTTGTTTTATGTTATTCATTGCGGGAGGTTTGATACAAATCCACTCATTCCCATATTTTAGAGTCTTTTTTTTGTAATGAAGAACTAAAAAGCCGCAAAGAACTGTAAGGTCTTTCATTTGTCCCCCCAAGAGCTAATGAATGGCATCCACCAGCCCCTGTTTGAGTAATCCCCATAAGAGCGCTCTATTTCAGTAGAAAGCTGCTTTGCCTAAGCAGCCAGGTGTTCTGCCATGTACAGAGAGCTCCTGGCCTAATACATGCAGCTCCTTTAAAACATTTCTTTATGATGGTTTTTGCATTCTCCAAATCCATCACTTCTGTTCTGTAATTTGTTCTCCTTTCTCCCTTGCATTCTGACCTCCCTGTAGGCAAAAGGAACAGATCTTTAAATCTCTACCTGGTTCTCGTCTGAAAAACCCATACTCTGCAGCACTCCCAAGGTCAAAAACCCCTCCAGTCTTGCTCTGTGATACCCAGCACATGCATAGTGGACAAAGAGGAAAGATGAGACTAACGAAATAAGAGAGACAGAAACTGGTGAAGAAGAGTCAAAATAAAAATACTAGTTTTTTTCCCAATACTGCCCTACAAGCTTGAGAGAAGTCACGTTTCCTGATAGAGGATTTTGCATCATTTGAAATGTCAAATTGAAGAAACTTGCACTGCTCTTCAACAAGTTCAACAATTTATTGAACTCCCTCTGTGTCACACTCACAGGGAAGCAGCACGGAAGATGCCAGTGTGATTCTGCCATGTGTCCTCTTAGTATCACAAACTCATTTTAAACAGGACAGACGTCCACTAAAACTGGTCTGAAATTTTACAAATTACAAATGAAGAAAGTTTCAGAGAGAAATACCAATTTGTTGAATAACCGAAGTTTTGTTCCAAACATCTTGGGTTTCAAAACTTTCTCCAAATCTGAGCCAAGGTCCCAAGGCTTTGTCCCCTGAGACCAGGAGCAATGTGGCAGTCTGCTTGGCAGGACTCCCACACTTAGCTTGGAGGCAGCCAGCTATGCCAGAGGTTTCAGGCAGTCTGCCACAGAGTCTGGAAGTCAAAAGCCCGGCATGCCCCATCAACGCTCGCAGGGCTCCCAGGCACTGTGTGTAGAACAAAGAGGGAGCCTGGAGGACCTGGGTTTGGCTCCCAGAAGCTGTGGTTCCTGGGCAGCCCCGTGCAGAGTCCGATGAAGCAGACATTTGCGTCGGTTTTGAGATTGCCTATATGAAGCCCAAATGAATGTCAGACTCATTTCACAGTTAAGTGTAGGAGTGCACAGAAAACGTGTATAGAAAGCTATTTGAAAACTAGTCTTTGATGACTCCTTGAATGGACTTCCACCAGTCTGTGTTTGGTTTTGTGTATACATCCACTTGGGTACAAGTGTTTCCTGCTCTAACGTATAGCTAAAACTCTTACCAGTAAGCTATTTACCCCAGAAAGATGACTCTCTGCTTACAGATGTATGCACAAAATCACATACACACCTGGAACCTTGCTGAAGTCGGTACAGACCTTTCTTAACAAAACCTCTCTTCCGCCTTCTACACGTCCTGTCATACAGAGAATAGAGTCATCATTACTGACAGTTATTTAAGGGTCTGCAAATTGAAAAATACCAAAAAGCTCTTCAGGAGAACATCCACTGATGCTCCCAGAAGCTAACAATACCATTCTTTCTGATGATATTTGTTGTCTTCTGTTATCACATTTCTGTTTCTCTCCAGATATTGTAATTGAGAGTGATTGTTTTGTCAAGTTTCTTGACAGCATCAGAAAACATCCCCTTTTAATTTTCTCTTTCCCGTTTCACATCACTCTATTTCTGTACCATCTGCTGAAGAATTTTTGCTTGTCATGTATCACTAACCACTGTTTTTCTCCATTACGAAAATCTTTGTAGTCTCATGGTGTCCTTAATTTAAATACTCTCTATGAACTTAGTCACTGCTTCCTCTTGTTTTTTTAGCTTGTTCTGTTTTATTTATTCTGGAGCAATACTGGCAGTAAAAGACAACCAAATATGTTTGCTTTCTCAATTTGGATAAAAACTCATTGCTTTTAGATATCTTACAGATGCTCCCTTAGCTGGAGAAGTCTGAAATTATTAGTAAATTATCAACAGAACACTGCTTTTAAGTATGTACAGTATTAACCATTACCCACAAGAAAGACAGAAAGGAGACAGAGAAAGGCTATTGGGAAGACTGAGGAATGCCAAGCTGTTTTACTAGGGAGAGTAAGAGAGCGTGGTTTATTTCACCTAGAAAAATAAAAGCCCAAGCTCCATGATCCTTTTCATTGGGCGTAAAGGCATGCCGCTAACAAAAGGAACAGTCCAGCCCTCCATCCCATGACATCCTCATCGTTATTCCCATCCCTTTCCTTGCACTAGTTTTAGTACTCTTGAGGCTACAAGGTGAACCTGATCTGTTTGAAAATTAACCTCAGTTTTGCAGGGTGAGTTTCCAGCCAGAACAGTTCATCGGGTCAGTTCAGGTTATGGCTACCTACCTGCATGCTCAAGGATCACTACATAGGGTGGTGGCACAGAGACTGCTCCATTAAACTGGCTGTGATGAAACGCTGAGAAAAGATGCATCTGAAAATAACAGTAGCTTGAGGTGTCCTCTCCTAGTGAGTAGGAGCAGTGGAAGGAGATGGGGAGATCTGAGCCCTCTAAGGGGTTGAGTGATCTGAGACTCATTGCGATCTTTTCTCTCTTTCCTCTCCTACTCTTTTTCTGCCTCACCTTTTTAGACTACAAATTTCTAATGTGTTTTCTGCAATACCTGGTATAATGGAGCCCCAGTCTCAGGCTCAGTCTGGATCCTTTAGGTACTTCCTAGTAGCAGCAGCAGCAGTAACATCATTACGTGTTGCCCCCTTTGATGGTTGTGGAGTACTAGAGAAGATAGAGGGACGGGCAACTAAAACGAAAAGGATTACAAGAATAAAAGAGTCCTCAGTTAGGAGAGGGGGAGGCTGAGGGCATGTATGATCAAAGTTTACAAGATCATCAAGGCCTCAGATAAAGGAAATGCAGAACTGTTGTTCACTAAATCCCTCAATAGCAGAACTAGGGACCACTCACTGAAACTGGTAGAACATCAGATAAAAGCACAGATGAAAGAAAATTCTTCTCTGTGTCGTGGCTACACAACTACTCAAACTCATACCACAGGAGGCTGTGGAGACAGACAGCATCAACAGGCTCAAAAGGGGATTAGAGAAATCCATGAAAAGGTCCATGAGCAAATACTGAAGGAAACAGGAAGGATGAAACCTCTCATATTGCTATACAACACTTAGGGATGATACTAGGGGAGAGGGCTGCAGATAGTGGCCAAGCTTGCATTTTCTCCTTAAATAGCATCCTATCATCCTATGCTGCCATTCTTGGAGAAGGATTACTAGATGCACCAGTGGTCTGGGAATATCTGAAGTTCCCTGAAAAAAATATTGAAACTTCTTATAAACGTCAGTGTGTTTTTTAGGTACTCCACAAGTTCTACTGCCAACTAAAAACAAGGCAATAATTAGATTAAAATCCCACTAAAGGAAGGAATATTTTCTCCTGTTCTGTTTTTTTTCTGTACTTAGACTGAGCATCAAATACTCATTACTAAGCCAGTAAGCCACATTTAGAGGTACCTAAGGCTTCCTTAGTTAATTTGTGACATCCTTGTTTCACATGCAGTATAGATTGCTTTGAGAATGCCTCTTTTTTTGTATGTCTCAGTCATTTTTCATCATGACATATTAGGGTAGTTACCCTGTGTGCATTAAGCAGGTGCTAACTATTAACCCTCGTGCAGAGACAATCTGGGTGCTTTAGTGGCTCCAAGCAAACGTTCCATAGCTCCATCACATGCATGCAACAGACGCACAAAATTGGCCTGGTTTCACTTGAGTGTTGTCTGTGGATTTTGCTGATCATTTTCTCCTATTTATCGGGTTAAGCAAGATTATGGGGATGCACAGTAAACACTGAAACAACAATTTGCTCACTACATGTTGTTCTGTTAATCATGCCTTCCTGCAAATGACACTCTT